CTGTATTTTCTCCTGTATTGAGTTACATTTAGCTCTGTTTTCTTATTTTTTTTATATAAAAAAAAAAAAACACCCCACACAAACCAGCCATGCCTAAAAGGAGCAAAGTGAGTAGACCGACATCTTTCATGCATTCAGTAATACAGCATTTATAGCCCCCAACTGCAATTTGTAAAATGGGCTTGTTACAGCTTGCGGTCAGAGTTGTTTAATTGTTGAATGTCCGTTTTCTGTTCCGAGTGAATGTCAACAGTGTTGTGCCTTGCAGCTAAGAGTTTAGATGGTGTGTAACGTTAGCGTCTGTTTTGATTTTCTGAAGTCGCTGATTCTTGGTCTTGTCGCTCGTGCAGTGGTTATCTTTGTGCCAAATGGTTTTCCGTATGCCGGGTTTTCTCCGCAGGATGGTGACATGCACAGTTGAAATTGTGTATAAATGCATTTACTTGCAGTGTAGGACAAACCGGGCTTCTTTTCTCTGTCGATCGATTGTTTTTCTGCAGAGAAAGTTGGCGGCATATTGATTGTTTGCTATGGGGGTCGTCACGCTGGATACCAAAGTTTCTCTGAGAGGAACTGGGACCGACATCGAAAACGTATAATCTAGTTAACATGCTCTTCTATGGCAATGGGCTGTAATGTGACGGCTGTTTTGGTTTGGATAGGCAGAAAGTCTCGTTTATTGCTTTCGTGCGAAAGAAAAACACTTTGAATGTGTGTATTTTATGATAATATGATATCGACCCGCTTTCATTAAACTAGCATGCATGTGTGGGTTTTTGTTTATGCATGGCCGCCCTTATTTTCGCAGGTGAAAATGCATATCTTGGAAGGCGTCCGTCATGTTAGCTGGGTGTCTTTCAGTGTATTGTCGGCTCAGGCCAGCCGTAGGTTATGCAATGGCGAGCCTCCGTCAGCAAAGCGCTGCTCTTGTTGCTGGGGGTTCTAGTAGATTCTGCTACCAGATCGACAGAGTCGCTGAGCATCTCGGAGTGACTCTTTTCAAATTCATGGCGGGAACACTCACTATGCACTGCTCGGTTTTCTCCGTACACTGGCAGTCCCATTTATTACCAATGAATGGATGTGTCGTGAGGAGGCGGAGTCCGCCCCCTCCTCCGCCGGAGATTTACTGTAGGCAAATCACTATCAGGGGCTGGGAGAGCACGGCGATATGACGCTGTTTAAACTACATGAGGTCGTTATATTTCGCGGTTAAACTACGTGTTGTTTTCAAGCATATCAATGGACACTTTCTTCTTGTTCTATTATTCTTGCGCCATCAAATGTAGTTCCATAAGGATTTAATTTCGATATGTTACTAAGAAACATGTAATATTTCTAATTGATGCAGTGACTGTAAACATGCAGACTAATGAGAGTGTCTTGGCTTTTTCAATGCACAGATTTTTTTCCAGGTTATGAGGTCCATTGTGCAGGATTTTAGATAAAATCTCAGCCAATGGCAGTGCTTAGCCTCAACTAAATCATATATGGAGCTGGACGTGCAGCCATAGGCTGAAATTCTGTCTGGACACGCCCACTTCTGAGTTATATAACTAATACTTAAAGCCCATGTCCCACTACCCACCACCAATTAAACCAACCATAGGCACAGTAAAGATTTCCTTAACCGTTTTTTTTCCTCCCCACAGGCAGCTGCAGGAGGTGACTCAGCGGTAAGGAATAATCAGATATTATTTTTGTTTTGAGTTTTATTCATTTTAAAAACAATAATGTAACAGTTAGTCTGCCCTCCCACCAGGGGTCAGTAACACCCCATCATTGAGAGCAATTGGCTGATATGTTAAATGTAGTCACTCTATCTGTTTACTCTCTCTGCAGCCCAAGAGGAGATCTCTCAGGTTGAAAGACGTAAGTACCGACAAGCTCAGACTGTTGCAGAGAATATGCATGCTGTTTACTACATGCTCAGTGCTGACATGGATGTTTTTTGTTCCCACAGAGACCTGCACCTGCAAAGGCAGAGGCCAAACCTAAGCCAAAGGTGGGACCTTGTTTTGATCACGTCTGATTTGATTAGTTTAGCAGACTTTCAGCTGCCGATGGAGTGACTGATATGGTTGATATTTCTGTTTGCAGAAGGGAGCTGCTAAGCCTAAGAAAGCCAAGGAGGTGGAGAAGGCCAAGCCTGAGGAGAAAGCACCAGAGGCCCCTGCGGAGAATGGCGAAGCCAAAGCTGAGGAGGAGGTAAGGGTCATATATAAACAGGCCAAAAAAAGCTCATCTCTTTTGCGGTGAAAAAATGAGACTCTATTTTGTCTTCCAGGCACCGGCTACAGATGCAGCTGATCAAAAAGATGAGGCAGCAGAATAACATCTCTCACACGACGTCTTTTACCAGTGCTCCCTGTACCTCTTTTCTTGTACAATTCAGGGGAATATTTTTATCAACTATTTTCTAAATACAGGTTTTTTAGTAGTTTGATTGTAGAGAACACTTTTTTTTATTGAAAGAAAAAAAGTCAATTTGGAGACGGGAATTTCATCACATCCCACAATTTTGCATCGGCATAAAAATTGCGGTCCTTGTTGTTACTGTCGGTGGATTTTATTTCAGTTTTAAATGTGAAGAAGGGGAGGGTGAAGGACAGGTTACCGTGTCAACACGCAAGCACAGTGTTCACAGGAGCTGGGGCAACAACCAGAGGAGCTTGCCTGCGTGGATTACATTCCATATGCTTTATAAGGGACTGTATGTAATCTGTGCTGGGGTGGGGATGGACAAAGTCACAGGGCAACTCATTGTTTTATTGTTTATAATGAACAGTGTTTTAGAATGTTTGTAAGCTTTATTCCTATATGTTAACTCTTGTACTCATGCAGTTTTCTTAACAAATCTGATCAATAAAGCTAAAATCCCTACTACTGGAGCTCTCCCTATCAGAACTGTGCATCGCGTGTGTTGGTTGTGTCTCTGTACTGTGATAGCATCGCAATAAATTTGTATAGCTGCTGTGAAAAAGGTTTTGAATCTTTCTATATGCAGTGTGTAATGGTACATTGTAAGGATGGTAAAATGGAATTTGTTTTCTTAGCCAAGCTAATGAGGTGTGTAACCATAAAAAAAAATACTGTTGAGATTGGCTTCTTAAAGGCCAACAGACAAACTGTACATTTATTTCAGATGTCAAATGCATACCAGCAGTAGCAATATTCATGTGAGTTTTAGGTATCTGTATCAAGTACAAGTGTGCAGTTTCCTTTTATTTGTTTATAGATGTACCTGTGTAATGATTGTTATCAACAAACCAATAAAACTCAGTTGGTAGTTGTTATGCTGTTTCATTCTGAGAAGTTGTTTAATAATGAAGGTTGCTGACGTAAGACAGGAAACATTAACTGGTAACTAAAAGAAAAAAACTTGAAAGGTTTCTGTCGTTCTATTCAATTTCACTTATATACTGCCTAATAATAACTTATCTCAGAGCACTTGTTACTTTTTTTATAGAGCCAGTCTAGACCATAGTCTATAATAGTACTTACAGAGACCCAACAATTCCCACCATGAGTAAGCAGTAGGTGCCACTGGCAAAGAAAAACTCCCTATGAACAAATAGAAACCTCAAACATAACCTACTAATAAGACTTTGTAAAAAGAAACTAGACGCTGCAGAAAGCATGTTAAGATACACTGTATGATTCAGCATGGATAGCGATGTGGTATTATATATACAAGTGGTAAGTTACTGAATGATCACATATTTTCAGTTTGCAAGTAGAGAAAAATGAAAGCCATTCTAGTAAAGGGGCCTAAAATACAACATACTAGAGGATGCCAGTAATTCACCGGCAAATATAAGCCATAGCTTTATTTAAAATGTTGTATTTTGATCCAGCTATAGAAGAAAACGTGTCTCGCAGGTGAAGAGGGCAAGTTCAAAGACGATTAAGATTCAGTCGACTGAAGGGGGTGGCACTTATTAGAGATGTAAAACAATTAAAAGCATAATAGTCAAAGTATGATTTTGAAGAAACGCAAACTCCTGTATACTTCAATTATTTCCTGTCGCCTTTAAAGCCAGTCTAAAAGAATGGTTTCACAAGCTCTGTCCCAAACAAAAACAGATGGAATAGTTTCAGCACCATGGACAGCTTCTCACTGGACCGTGGCTTTACCAGCTGTTGCTTTTCCTGCATCGCTTGTTACTTTCTTTCACATCATGATGCATTTACAACAGTTTTAAGAAAATTACATTCAGCATCCGTGTTAGTAAACACACCGGTAACGGTGTGCCTTTACTGTGGATGCGTTACGGCCCTTTACGCATGTTTGACGCAAGGGCGGCAGCGCGTTCTCTTCCGGTTCTCATTGGATTGGTCTGCAGAGAACGATAAGTAAAGAAGGTAGATTCACTTTACCTTTCATAACGAAGCTGCCACATCCTGGTTTCCTGTGTTAACACAGTACACCAATGCCACATCTTTAATTGGTGCGCATGTTTGGCCGTGTAACCAATAACTAACTCGCTTGCATTGTTAAAATGCCAACGGCCTGTAACTACGCGGATGTAATGAATGTGTGACCGTGAATTTGTTTACCTATAGCCCTTATGGGAAAATAAAACCCACCAGTGAAACGCACATCTTCCGATAACGTGAATATAGCTTATGAATTTATGAATTATTTCCCCTCTCCTACCTATGAAATGCTCATAATTTTAGAAAACAAAATAAAGAGAAAGAAAATTGTTTTTGACAATGACAATACACCATTTCCAGCCAATGAGCCCGACAGTTGCAATAGGTAAAGAATAGGTTCACATTTTTTAAAGCCTGTCTTAAAAGAGTACTCATGTACACCGGAACAGTTTTTGGTTAATGTAATTGTTCTTCTTGTCCACACTATGAGGAGATTCTCCTTCCAGCTTTCACAAGGTGAATGGATCTTTAGTGCATTTTCACAATTGGCTGAAGCAAGAGACAAACTCTCAAAGTATGCTTAAGGCTAAACTGAATTACTGCCAGTTCACTGATAAATATAAGAAAAAAGTAAACTTGACATTTATTAGATGTCTTTACCCCTTCCAAGGCCATTTTACAATTCCAGTTAGATAGAGATATGCCAACATGGCACCCTGTGTAGAACCATTATTGCTGGAGTTCTCACAGATTTTATAGAGGAGAAAGTTTACAGTATATAATCCAGTTTTGAAACATAGGTACATAACTAGCAAAGGTAAAACACCTGTAGCAAAGGCTTGATGTTAAACAATCCTTAAAAACATGTCAGATCACAAAAGCTGACATGGCTTAAGACGTCTTCTGTATCAAGTGCTGTAGAACTATGTACAAAAATAACATGATCTCCAATGCTTAAATTCCATTTTCACAAATACTCGAGGTATTGGTAAGATGACCATGATGCATGCTACCACATTTGTGCAAATACCTAGACAAATAATAGTCCAGAAAATACAGGCCCATCAGTACACATTCTTAAATATAGCAACCTCCAATGAAGGCAAGGTATGAAATGAGCAGCATACATCCACTTTCTTTCTACAAAATCCACTTAAACCTTGACATATTTTCATATCCATGTCCTTTTTAGCACAGGTTGTTGTTAAATGTCTCTACATGAAAACTGCCTCTATGGAAGTGGAAGCATTCAACTATTTGCTTGTGATGAACAATTATCATCTACTCTACCTTTGTGCTGGTGAATATGAGGACAAATCTAAGTATGTGTGACAAAAGTACCTGATTATTTATCTAAAGTGGTTTAATGACTCACACCCACCCTGAACAATGACTTCAACCCAATTCACCAGGAAAAAAATGTCCAAGATGTGTCTGCGTTTGACTGGTTTTGTTTGGTCAAATCAGAGTTGTATTAATGTGCAGTTTTCTGTATCCAGAGCCGTCAATACTGCAAGAAAACCGTATGTCTAGTCACATAACAGAACATAGACAGTTGGCTTTGAGGAAAATACATTAGTCCATTTTCTCTGCGATCCGCCCCATTTTGGTGCGCATGTTGCGTACAAGGAAGAACCCAACGGTGGCGAGGGCCATTATCACCTCGGCTATCCAGAAAGCCATGTCCCAGCTGTGTTGTTTGGCAACAGTGCTGAAGGGAAGCCCCGCCATAAAAGCCCCCACTGTAACAAAAGAAAGCTTGTTTAGTCATATGAACGTGTCACTCCTGGAATGCTACAGTAAGTGACGCGGATGTGTTTGCAGCTTACCGTTAGCCATCAGAGCTACGACAGCATGAGAGGTTCCACAAAAATTTGAAGGAGCACTTTCACTGGCTATCACCCCAAACAAGGCAATTGGTCCGTAAGAAGAAAATCCAAACACAACGCCGAGGACGAGGATCCAGATCTGTGTATGACAATAAGAAAATACAGTGTTTTTGAAAGACTCAGTTCAGCGTATCTTTATCCCAATGAACCCTGTCACATTTTGGACCATACCTCTTTTTCTGACACACCAATGAGGACAGAGACAGGATGAAGGACTTGGACCCAAAGAGGAGCCTCCTGAGCAAAGACAATAAGCTCTTGTGACATTTGCAATACTGGCAACATGTATACTTCAAGCATTTTACACAGGTATGACAGAAATTCAATTACCTCTGGGATTTCAGGTGTGATGGTGACTCTGAAGAGGTACATGGAGACATACATACCACCCATCATGAGAATGAGAAGGCCGTGCCGAGGGTTGCCGTGGGTGCCCAAGCCTTGCTGGTGGACGTCAAAGAGGAGGTTGAACACTACTCAGTAGTAATCCTGGTGATTTATAATGGATCCCTGTTCGTTACTCACCCGAGCCACAGCCCTGTCAGTAAGAAAGCCTGATGCAAGGCTGCCCGCAAAACCTCCCACCTCCAAGGCGCTCATGTAGGTACTGCCTGTGAGCAACGCAGCTGATGTCAGCAACCCTAACCATTCACACTGAGTGAAGATCAGTGAGACGCAATAGACAATCAAAGCGCATACCCATGAGAGCAGTCTGGCCTTTCTCCTGCATGAGGAAGAGCTGTCCCCAGTCAGTGGCAGCCGTCTTCACCCCAAACACCACCAAGTAGCCCAGAGACAGCACCCACAGGAAAGGAGAGAGGAGGAACTCCCTCAGGGTGCTCTCACTGTTGCCTGGTGAGTACAAGTACAGACAGGGAGATACGTTCACACGCTTTATATATATATATATACACACACACACACATGTATACAACACGGTAAACAGGAAGTGCACTAGTATCTCGAACTCATTCTATATCTAACCATAATTTTTTCGATTAGTCAATATATTCCAAATAATTGTTACAATTAATTTATTAAATATAAATATCAAAAACTTGTCTCATTAATAATTTTAGATTTTATTCAATCATCCTGAAAAAGAGACAAGATATAAAGCTTATCAGAATAATAACAGTGGCACAATTGGCTCTAATTTCCACGTCACTGCTGTATGATATATTAATAACAATAATAATTGATAATAATCTGCCATCAAAAAGGACAGGGACAGACTACAACGGACAGTCAGGACTGCAGAAAAGATCATCGGTGTCAACCTGCCCTCCATTCAGGACTTTTTACATTTCCAGAGTCAGGAAACATCACTGCAGATCCATCTCACCCCGGATACAATCTGTTCCAGCTCCTCCCCTCTGGTAGGTGCTACAGAGCACTGTACGCCAAAACCAACAGACACAGAAACACTTTCTTCCCACAAGCCATCACTCGGATGAACAGCTGACTCTGACTCACGGTGTCAGGAACAATTCCTGTGCAATAACCCAGTAACTCTGTCTCTAATCAGCCACCTGTTTACTGACTATCACTTATTATTTATTCACCATTCTCTATTTCAGAGCTGTTCATATTGTCATTTTGTAAATACTGTATATCAAATCCACCTACCTCAAGTACATAACACTTGCACATAATACTTATTTATTGCAGCATCCTTTGTACTGTGCTCCATCACACAGTGTTCATCTATGCTTGTATGTGTATGTGCACCTGTATATCACATCCACCTGAGACATGTACATATTAATAACTATAGTAATAATAATTTACTCCTGCATCCTTTGCACTCTGCTCATAGCACTATTGTCTCAATCTGTCTGTTTTGTTTATAGTGTGTATATATATATGTGTCCTCTATGCAGTAAGATAATTACTGGCAAATGTATTTATGCATCAGTGTGGGGCAAGGAAAATAACTAACGATACACACACAGTAACACGCAGACTCTAACAACAATCACAGATTGTAACAAGTCTGTAATGTTAGTTTAAGCCATTTTCTCACTCATACCTAAATAAATGGAAAATCTAAAACGGGCCCAGCGATGACACAGGTTGTAAAGTTACATTACCATCACAGCAGCTTTGTGATTTAACCAACAAACTAAAAGGTTCTGAACAGAAACAATATGTATTCCACACTAGTTTAAGGTGATAATGGCTCAGTCCCAACACCCACGCTTGTGGTCTTGCATTTGCAAGTGTGTCCCATGTTGGAAAAATTCCAACATATGGTACACGTACGGACACGTCTCCCACACAGCTTTGGAGTGGTATTCAGAGCAAGTGTGTCCCAAAAGTCACCACGGTCTGTAGCACATCACCAGTCCAGTTCTTGGACAAAGAAGTCAAAGTTCCTGACATGCTAGATTCCGCCACAATATTATTATTCATGTACCAACACATTAGGGCTGCAAATAAAAAAAATAAAAAAACATAATTCATCTGCAGTTTTTGTCTATGAATCAACTTGTCAAATAAAATATCAAAAAATAGAAAATAAATGGCCATCATCATTTCCCACAGCTGAAAGTAACATTTGAATTGCTTACTTTGTCTGACCACCAATCCAAAACCCAGTTTCATTATCATATAAGCGCAGGGAAAGTAGCAAATACTCACATTTAGGAAGCTGAGAAACCAGAGAATGTGGACTCAAATGATTAATAGAATAAAAAAGTTCCTTTATTTTCTTTCTTAATCAACTTACTGATTAATCAACTAATTATTTCAGCTCTAATTAAATAACATTTCCCTTTATCAATAGTTTTGAATGTTATGTATCTTTTACATTAGGCTACTCAATGTGTTTGTGTCTGTCATTGTCTGTAACTGTAACACAGTATGGTCAAACCTACCGTACTGTTCAGCCATACATTTGTACTTGCGTGAGCAATAGAATGTCCTCATTAATCAGGTGTGTCCCAGTAAACTCTGATAAACCTGCACCTGGGTACTGTGGCAGTTTTGAGAAGATGGTGATACAAGTTGACTACTTGCAAAGAGACACACTGTTAGGATCAGAGGGGCTGTGGCTCAGGAGGTAGAGCCAGTACTGCCAGTGTATGAATGTGTGTGCATGGTGAATGTGATGTAGTGTAAAAGGAGCTAACATGGCACCATGTGACTGACATGCTTCAAGGTAACCATCTCCAGCTACACAGGAAGCCTCTTTACCTACCTCCCTTAGCTCCCGTCTTGGCTGCTGCATTGATGCTGGGCAGGCCCACATCCTTTGGCTCATTCTTTACAAACACCAGACAAACAAATGAGAAGGAAGCACAGAAAATGCCCGACATGGTCAGGATAGTCCTCCAGTCGTAGTATTGCAGGAGCACTGTGACCACGATTGGACCCAGACTCCCGGCCAGGTTCATACTGCAGGACAGCACGGACCACCATGTTCCAAACTGAGAGGGCTCAAACCACTGATGGAAAAGAGACACAGGAGGAAATAAAGCAGAGAGTGGTCAACATTTCCAAAATCCTACAATGCAGGCAGAGTCAAAGAGTGCAGAATGACCTTCATGTGGATGTTTACAACTATCATATACTGTACATATTGCTGCTTTCTTCCCATGAGGAAAGTGGATTCCTGAAGCAAGTCACATTTATGGTCAAAAACATGCTGATTCATTTCATTTAATTATCTTTAAGAGGAGGTTGAGGCAATGACAACGAATCAGCAGAAACATTACATACCAACAGCAATTAATATTATGACAGTTTGACGTAATAAGAGACATTTACAGCACAACACAGTTCAGATTCTTCTCTTTCTTTACTGCTTCCTGAGGAATGGTGTCACAAGCACACGCCCTTATGATGTCATACAGCTGAAGGCGGCTCACACACATTCCTCACACAGCACCACCCAGCAGAGCAACGGAGAAATCAAACTTGATAATCCACTAGGTAAACACTTATGGCAGCCCACAGGCTGAATTAACACACTGTTGATCCACAGTGTGTGGATGTTGACTCAGCTGTGAAACAGGAGCTGCACAGCTCTTGCAAACTGGTGCAGACATGGAGCTGTTAAAGATGTTTCCTCTCACCGGAGGAGGAAAACGCCTTTGGTCAAAGTAGTTTTTCCTTTTGGAAAGATGTACCGAGGATCTTCTATTAATACATTCTCCTGTAATCTGATCCCTTAAAGCACAGTGAACACATGCCAAATCCTATTTATTCCTCACCTTTGAACTACTACTTTTAAGGCAGCTACTCACGAGCCTCCAGTTGTCTGAGTATAGAACAGCGGAATGTGTTTTCCTCAAAGAGTATATAGTTTCAAAGTCCTGCCTATAATGCATACCATTCACCAGACCTTAATGAACAAAAGCTATATGAGAATGAGGCCTCGCAGATTATTAGGTAATCCTGTAATTTTTCAAACTCCTACCACTGCCAGTGTGTTCACTTTGGAGTTGGTACATCTGGCCCAAATGTCAACAGGATTGGTGCACTCTCTCTCTTGTGTGAAAACACAGAACACACATCGGTGCAGTAGGTGGCTCCCACTCCAGGGTCAGACCATTTCACTAGCTGCCCAGAATAATCACAGGCATCATGGATAGCCTGCGTGCTGTGAGTGGGACTTCCCTTGGCTCTCAGCATCACAATTACGCTGAATAAGGGATCTGTGCTGCACGAGGTGGCAGTCAGGATGCTATTACCTTGCGCAGCACCTTGCCACATGGGGGCCAGCCACAGCCTTGTCCCAGGCCGTTGATGAACCAGAGCAGTGAGAACATGGACACAGTAGAGGACCAGGAGAAGGCAACGTTGATGCCACCCACCACGAAGAGGCCGATGGCGAAAAGCCAGCGAGCGCTGATCTGATCCGACAGCACGCCGCTGATGAACTTACTGATGGCATAGGCCATGGTCTGGCTGCTGGTGATCAGGCCTGCAAAGACACCATGAAAGTTACTGATAAATCAAAGTACAGTCAGAGACACTGTAACAGGAGACATGAGCTGTAGCTTTGTACTCATGAACTACTGAGAATCAAGTCATTTTACTGCCATTAACATAAAATCTTTGTCGAAATTCTTGCCCTCTACTAGAGCCAAGGTTACGCTCAGTAGTATTATGCAGACAGACAGAGGAGGTGTAAGTTCCCTCTTCATATCGGCCACACTATCAGAGATCAGATCACTATCAGCGCTTAAAAGCATAACACAATATTGGGTGATTATGCTTGAATAGACTGGAAGGTGTTTCACCTCTGTCCAGTAGTTTTCAATTTGCTTATTTGGCGAGCTAAACAAGCCAGATTTAGACATTACTGCACAAGGCTTTTGTTAATAAAGACAGAATCAGCAATTAAGTAAATCTTGTTTAAATCAGACAAAATATGGTCTCTATTAACGGCATGTCTCACCCAAGTCATCTTTGTCCAGTTTAATCTCCTCCATCACAGAGGGCATGACAAAGGAGAAGGTCTTCCTGTTAAAGAAGTACAGCGCGTAGCCGATGAACATGCAGAAGAAGATGGCTACACGATAGTAGCCGTAACCTGTGGCCCCCATGATTGCAGACGATTGGACAAAAACAAAAGACACACAACTTCAAGGATGATGAAGGAAAACAATAATTATTTCTTTCTTCAGGGTAGTCTTCTATTCGGGTCCTCCGGCATCTAGATTATAGCCAATCAAGCTGAGAGCTGTGCTGTTATCAGCGGACGTTGTTGGACTTCTCTTAGTAAAAAGTCAACGACATCAACTACTTGTTTGCACTGGGACAATTGAGATATGAAACAAGAGTTTGCTGGGCAGCGCTGATGAAATATTTTCCATGAGGAGAAACACTCTTCTTCAGGCTGGTAGATCTGTCTATCTGCGAGGCTGCTGCTTGTAGAAGCCAGGACAGAGGAAGGAAGCCTTACACCGGCCTGAAATGAAAACAACAAATATGATTCAAGACAGAAGCAATTACGACAGTCATGACGATTCCAGCACTGCAGATATTTTGCACTTGATGATATGGGCACTAAGTTTTAATTGGTTAAATGAGCCGATAAATTATCATTTAACATTGTATTTTTTTTTTTTGGATTGTATTGACCTTGTTCTTTTATTGTATGGGTGTTATTGTTTTTACTTGTATGTTATGCTTCGCGTGAGCTATGTATTTAGTGTCTTATTTATTTTTCTGTACAGCACTTTGTGTCCACTTTGGATGTTTAAAGAGCTCTATAAATACATTTTGACTGATTGATCCTTTATAGAGACTTGCAATCAAAGAATCCTTTTCTAAGGATGGACTGCTGTATGTAATGTGACTGTAAACGTTCTTCTCATAGCAATATAGTGTCTGGAGTTTCAGAAGCAGAATAGCCTTCATTGTCAAAAAAAAAAAAAAAACATACAACGAAATTTGGAGAGCTACTCCTGTGAGGAGCCAAAACACACATTCATTCATTCATTCATCCGTTCATTCATGTCCATAATGAGCCAGTGGCCACCTTATTTCCAGCATCTCATACATCGCGGGTTCAAGTGCAAGTTCAGGATAAAATGACATTCTGGATCTACTAGCCTGTCATATGTCAAAGTTGTTCCTTTAACTGGCTTGGGTGTCTGGTTTAGAGGTCTCCGGTCAGCAACCCTGGAACTATCAGGTGTCGCACAGAGGGAACTGTAGCCTTTTTTGGACATATAAAAGTTAAAATTAAGGACGAGGACCTTACATGACCGATAAGTATCCCTTCCAGTCAAACGCCAGCAGTATGTTTGCTCTGTGTTCGTGTTATGAGCTCCACAAGCATTTCAACTGACGGAGACCTGTGACAGACAGTGTTTACAACAACATTACAGATGACAGTGGACTGATAAAAGTCACCAAACAGGACCATTCTTGCTAACGCTGGTACAAAGTACCCTCAGCTACTCGCGGCGAACTCCTGCGTGGAGCGGCCCGCGTATAGGACTGTCCCTCAGGCCTACCTTCTACATAAAGCAAGACATGTTGACGCTCGGTGACGTCTGATTCAGCCGTTTACCGCCTCGGTACCACACTGAATGAGGAAATGCCTGTAAAGCTGGTTACCTTGCATTCGCGTCCCTCTTCCTGATCCCATCCACGCGAAAGGACGGCGCGCGTTCATGATTCTGCAGCTCTTGGGCGCGTCACCGTGACACACTGAGCCATGCTCGGGCACCGTGGCAGAAAACTCATAATACACGGCCGCTGCAGCAGGCTATGGTTTCAAATGTTGCACCGTATGTGAATACATGTAGCACGTAGTAGGCCAAATGCCTGCTGCTACTCCGACTGCGGTCAATTCTCATGCCACCAGATTCCATTTAAAATATGTTACTTTAAATGTGTGATTCTAAACGAGGGAAACGGGGGATTCTTCATGATCTGGAATAGTTTAGGAATCAGTTGGACCCGCAGATTAATCAGATTAATCCGGCATGGTCGACGATTTATTATTTGAATAATATCTCAGCACTGCTCACTGCTGCCCTCCTCCGTCGGTATGGGGATGACCGGAGGAAGTTGAAAATGACCGTTGTTGATGGCAGTCTACAAGGTCTGCTGTTTCACGTCTGTGGGGTTGCCCACTTTAATAATATAACAATAATTATAATCTTAATTTGTAGAGCACTTTTCAAAAACAAGTTACAAAGTGCTTTAACAAGTGTAAAGACAATAATACAGAAACAATACAAGATAAAAGCAAGAAAACACTGAAAAGACTAAAATACACGTTTAAGATAAATATAAAATTGGTAAAATAGAATAAAATAAAAGGGATAAAATAAAGTCAAATAAGATCGGGAAAGGCTCTCCTATAAAAGTATGTTTTAAGAAGGGACTTAAAAGAGTTCACTGACTCAGCCGACCTGATTTCCTCGGGCAGGCTGTTCCAGAGCCTCGGGGCCCTGACAGCAAACGCTCTGTCCCCTTTAGTTTTCAGTCGAGACTCTGGAACAGACAACAGACCTCTGCCCGAGGATCTCAAGGTACGTGCTGGTGCGTATGGGACTAAAAGGTCAGAAATATAACAAGGCGAGAGGCCATGAAGAGCTTTAAAAGTGATCAATAGAATTTTAATTCAATTCTAAAACACACTGGGAGCCAGTGTAATGAAGCTAAAATAGGAGTAATGTGGTCATATTTCTTTGTTCTGGTTAAAAGCCTGGCAGCTGAGTTCTGGACAGTCTGGAGTCGATCAGTAGATTTTTGGGTTAAACAGGTGAAAAGGCTGTTGCAATAATCCAGGCGTGATGAGATGAAGGCATGTAAAATGGTCTCGGTGTCTTTAAAAGTTAACATAAATCGAATTTTTGCTATATTTCTAAGTTGATAAAAACATGATTGAACAAGCTTTGTGATGTTTACTCGACATGGCTGTGGCAGTTGAAGATTGAGAACAGTTACCTTAGGCCTGTGGTCACACCTGAATAAAATGCTAATAACCAGCCAAATACTCATGCAACCTCGAAAAATTAAAAATATTCCTTTCCTGAACAAAGTTTTGAGGAGGATCTGATTTGGCAACATAGTGAAATACTAGCCTTACATAAAGATTGTGTTGTGAGTGTTGTTAAACCAGATTAGTTTCTCCCTTTCTTTCCCCTGTTTTTTTGCTCATTTAAAGTGACTGTCAATCTATCACTCAAATCACGTGCTGTTCAAACCTATGGGATTTGGAATTTAGAAGACATCCTTATTAGACCCCAGGAAACAAGATCAGAGGTCAAAATGTCTGGCTGTTCTGACACACCCCTGCTGTTCCGATAGTCTGCAAATAATGCGCATACAGTATGAATATTAATGCACTAAAATGGGGGAAATAGTTGCAGCAAATGTGGTAGTTTGTTTAGTAGTCAAATCAGCAATAGGCTACAGCTCGTGCAGGCCAGGCAGACAGTGCAGCCAAGGTTGTTAGATTCACTTTGGAACAGTGCTTTGTGTAGAGTTTGACAAACAAAGCTGATATTTCTTACCAAAGGTATTTCAGTGTCCTCTGTCTTCTAGAAATGTAACCTGCTGACGATTGCATCAGAATGCTGATTAAATCATTGTTTGTTTCCTCTTTGTAATGTGAAGAAAACTGACACTTCTTTATTTAGTGCCAGAAGGATTCTTTTGTTTAACTGTTTCATAGACATCTAAGATTGGGTGTCGACCATTTTGGAGACAACCCCTGTTGTTCTGCATGATTAGTTTAGGGAAAAGATTGTTTGTTCCTGTAGATCGAAGGGGGTTTCACGTCTGGGATCGGCGCTCTTTTGTTTGACCAAAAGTAAAGGTACCCCCTTCCTAATTGGGTGACGACGAAACCAACCAAATAACCAATGACTATGGACCTGAGCCATGTGGAGGAAAAAGGACCCGCCCAGATACCTGGAGGATACAAACAACTCATTTTGTGAGAATCGGGACTGTAAGCTGTAAAATCCTGAAGGAGAAGCAACTTTCCAGTCCACTGCTGGGGGCGGTAGTAACTCAGTCCGTAAGGATTTGACTGAAAAGACTGGAAACTGGGGATCTTCAGGAGAAGCATCTTCAATCCACTGCAGTGTTTTTGTTTGTTCTGTAATGTTATCGTTTATTCACCAATTTTTTAATTAAATCTTTTGTTAATTTTCATTGGACCAAACCTCTCCTTGATCAAAATCCATTATACGCAACATTTTTACCTTCAAAGCTTATAATTCTAAGCTAATATATCACAGTAAAAAAGGGGCTAACTGTGTTTGTAAATTGGGATGTCCTCGATCACAACATCTGGGGCCTGCCTCACAAAGCGGGATTAATGAAGTTGGATGGGTGCTGAGGAATAAACTACATATAAAACTATATCAGATCTAGAAGTGAAAAACAACATGACTGTAAATTGTAAAAAGTCAAAGATAAACTGAAAGAATGACTGATGTGCAACCGTTCTTGAGGTCTAACCGTACTTTAGGCCTATATATCTCCACACATAAAGGATTGGTACCAAATATTTTTGCAAAGATGCTCACTCGCTGTCTTGCTGGGAGTTAAATGAGATTATTGATACCAGTCTCATGTCTGTTAAATATAAAGCTGGATTCAGGAGACAGTTAGATGAGCTTAGCAGAAAGGCAGGATGAAACAGCCTGACTGGTCTCTGTTCAAAGCTAAAAATCTGCCTCCTGGGCCTCTAAACAGATACAGATTCCGATACCTACACATATGCAGTCTTCCACACTCTTCAGAACTCTTCAAGTTCATTGCTCCTATTAAAAAAAAATCACAGCAGAAATTTTGACTTGTTAGAAAAAGCACAGGTGTTATTAGCTTTAAAGCTGGGGTATGTGATTGGAGAAAGCATGTTGATATTTGAACTTGACAGCCAAACAAATACACCCCTCCCTTCAGAAGCTCAGAAGCCCCTCACCAATTCACAAGAAAGCATTACCAAGGCAACACTTTAGATTGTTTTTACAAAGCTACAGTGACTGAAGACAGGGGCCCTTCTCTATGTTATGCATCTTAGTCTCCTCCCCTCTGTCCTCCTGCCTGTGAACCAGAAATCAGTCTCAGCACACCATCTTGAAGGACATCTCAATTCCTAACATACATCTCAAGGAGGAGGACAGAGCACAGAGGAGGCTTGCTGGACAAGCCATGAGCGAGAATGCACCATCCTTTGTGGTCTTTTCTGCACCTGTGCTGTATGAAAAAGTGACACAGCTGGAATATATAAACTATGGCGGGAGTAGGACACATAATATTCATAAGTTGTACTAACTATTTAAGATGATCAAATGCACAATCAAGTTCCGTTCACCATTAGTGTAGCCCCTCTAAGCTCATTGCTTAATGACATTTCACATTGATATTGCTGATGTTTTTATTGTTGAATGTAGTGACGCACGGATTGGGCTGGCCTGGTCATAAAAATTAACATTCTGATTAATAGGTTTGTGGATGGACACAGTCTGCATTTATGCATGATGCACAGCAGGGTAAAAGGTGAAACTAATATATTATATAGACTCATTACATGCAAAGTGAGATATTTGATATAATTTTGATGATTATTGCATACAGCTTATGAAAACCCAAAATTCTAAATCTCAGAAAATTAGAATATTGTGAAAAGGTTCAGTATTGTAGGATCAAAGTGTCACACTCTAATCAGTGCAATTAGCCTACCGTTGTAGACAACTAAAGTTAATCTGTTGACAACTCGGTGCACAATGTTTTTCTGGCTGCAACTGCATAGCCTATGTTCTATAATGCACAGAACCCTAGACAATGGTAGATACGGTATTAGCCTAATACACACAGGATTATTACTGTAGTAAGAGATGCACAGATTATTTTCTAGGCTGATTCCAATTATTGATTTTTTAAAAGGTCTGACCTGCCGATAAAAAATTTGGCTGATTCCGATTTTCTTTCTTTCTAAGAACTATAATTGACAGCCTACACAAACATTTTTGTAACTATTTATTGGAAAAATCTATTTTTATTATGATCTCCATCAGCACCAGTATAAATGTTAGCTATTCTCACTGGATGGTCAAAGTGAAACATTGATTATAAAATAACATTAGAATTTTCAGTGGAAGAAGCTGAAAATAAATTGCACACCATTTTAAATCTCCCTAATTCCTAAATTTATTTTTGTGTTAAATCACAAACTACAGTAATCTTCTCACCTTGCTTTTCCCATCAGACACACAAGCACACACCAACACCTGTCAGTCTCTCTCTTTCTCTCTCTGTCTGCTCTGACTTTATTTGTCAGCAGTTTTATTTAAAAGAACTCCTGTTTCTTACTTTTCAGCAGATGAGTTGCGTGTGGAGGACACTTGTTGTTAATTACAGATAGAGACCACTGTGGTCTGAATGACATCATCACCAACAGCTGCGTTCACTGTTACTTTACCTGCTCCCTGTTTTAAAATATCCACAGCGTCTCTTTCTGTGTGTTTCTCTGCAGATGTAGTGAGCGTTGCGTCTTCTTCACTCGTGAATAACTTCCACACACCAAGACATGTTTTAGCCTGTGTGTGTGTGGCTGTGACATGAGGTTACTGTCTGCATTTGTATTGTTTTACACAATCATTTTAAATATATATCATTATATTATTTTAAGGTTTTTAAGGGGGGGGCATCCCTCAGAAAGGGGGAGACTTGACCCCCCCTCCCCCTCCGGGATTTCCGCCTATGCTAGACTATACCATACCCAGAGCCCTTTACTAA